TGTGCATTTCATATTTAGAATTACTCTCGAAATCAAGTGGTCCTATGACTCTTAACTCTCCAGTTTTACTGTTCAGTGAGAAAACCTTTTTAGCCCTTTCTGAGATGCGGCTAAACTCATATGTCACCTCCCCATTGACTCCCTGGTCTGCATCAGAAGCACTTACAGTGACAACTACAGTATCGAGGGCAGAGTTTTCAGGTAGACTGGCTTTGTAAACAGCTTGGTCAAACACTGGGGCGTTATCATTAGCATCCAGCACAGTCACGTGTATATTAACAGTACCTGATCTATGTGGATTGCCACCATCAACAGCAATCATCACAAAATTTAAATCGTGTTCTTTTTCACGGTCTAGCTCTTTGTCTAACACCAACTCGACGTTCTTAGACCCGTCACAATCATCTCAAACAGACAAAACAAAATGTTCATTATTTTGTAAACTGTATTGTTTTACTGTATTTTGTCCGATGTCAGCGTCGTGTGCTTCAATGAGACGATAACGAGCTCCTTTGAAGGCCAATTCGCTTATTTCCAATTTAAATGTATCCTTAGGAAAAACGGGTGAATTGTCGTTAACATCCTGGATAAGCAGTGAAATACGGTGCAGCTCCAAAGGGCCCTCCAGGACTAATTCGAATTTAAGCAAACATGAGACCTTCTCCCCACACAGCTCCTCTCTGTCGATCCTTTCCCTGATGACCAAATTTCCCGTTTTGAGATTAATATCGCAGTAGTGCTGATAGCTTTCCTCGGTGTCAATACGGGCTTTACGGATGGACAATTTCCCCACTTCCAGCCCGAGGTCCTTAGCGATATTTCCAACAATGGATCCGGGTCTCATCTCCTCCGCAACAGAATAGCTGAGGTCTGCAGTGGTGATGTAGACGACGGCAGCAAAGACGCAGAGAAAACTCAGCAACGATTTCCCTTTTTGGTCCATTATGTCTCCCGAAAGAAGACACAGACACGCAAATTCCACTTGTTAGTCATAAAACTGAAACGTACGGGTAAAAATAAGGTACACCGCGTCCCACAACAATGGCAGCTCCTGTTTTAATGCTTGAATTAATCCTTTTGCAGTGGGTGGAGAAATGAAACTCCCCATATCTGTAGGTGAGGAGCGACGCCGTGAGTCTATTTGGAATATTACAAATCAATAACAACAAGCCCAGCATGAGTTGCCGCAGTTGCTACCATGATAAACACTACAACATTGCATTTCACTCGTAAGACACAAATGAAAAGCATTATACTGGAGTGTTTTCGGGTTGGTGTAATAGGCGCATACAGAGAAAACCAACACCATTCAGCACCATGGAGAGCTCATGCACGGGGAGGAGTAGATCTAGTGCTTTCTGACATTTTATTTTTCTGTTCCTAAAGTATAAATAACACGGACTGATCACTTAACAAAAAATATAACCTTGAGTTTTCGTGTTAAGTGATAGGCTGTATTTTAACATTTTATAAACTGAACGTGCCCAACCATGTTTTAGATATAAACATCGCAAGGTCCACAAAATACTTGTGTCTTTTTTTCACATTTACTAAATCTAGATAGAAACGAACTATTTTATATTCTATTTCCATTATTCGCTGGTGAACAACAAATATGTAACTATGAAATCCGATTGGCAGTTGTGGTACTGAAGCAATATCTGAGGACCAGTCAATACCCTAGTAACCTTGACATTTACACACACAGAAAAAAACTTTATCTTTCCATCAGTTAGGATGATCTAAATCGTGATCAAAGCCGACAGTCAATGTCACATTTGCAACAGTCGCTTTAAATGTAATAACATCTGTCACTTGAGCACAAATGCTTGTTCAGCTTGTTTGTATATATAAAATGACAAAATCAAACTTAAATTGTTGCAACTTTAAACTTTAAGTGGATGAAAATAATGAATTAGGGCACGTCCAAAAGCAAGTGGTAAACGCCATAGAAAGATTGCGGCTACAGATATGAAGTAAACATGGTTTTGTTTATACCCAGGTGAAGAAGACGTTGGGCGCCATGACGAATACTGGGCTGAATTAACTTGGAAAACATGAGATATAGATTTTGATATCGAGATTAGATGTAAAGGCCATTAAAACACCATCTGAAAGTCCATCAGTGTGGAGTAGGTCCCTATCACACACTGAAATGCAATCATTTATATGTCTAAAAAAACTTTAACCGTGACACAGAGGCGACTTTTCAACTACAAAGTATTGAAATCCTGCCTACCGAGCAGTTGCCTTGATTTCAAAAACATGCGATTCAGAGATTGTTAGGAATTTGTATAAAATTAGAATCAGCCAGGGACTAGAAGTGTCAAAGCAATGTATAATTGAAATTAGGCCAACTATATTATTGAATAAATCTATAAAGGGAAACAAAATACTTATCGACCATCCTACTCTTGTCATAAATATAGGTCTGAACCCAAAAACAGCATTCAAGAGCCATATGACTGCAAGTGGATTAAATGATCCAATGCCCACTTAAGTATTTAAACGTAAGGCAACTTAAAGTCATGGCGACAAAATCGAAAGATCACATCAACATCTAAATGTTTGATACAGATATGTATGGGGCCTACCTCTGGAGACTCATCTGGCGTACCAAACGCTTCAGCAAAGTCCGATGGACTTTTCCTCAGAGTCTGGTCAGCAGGCAGTGTGTTGTCACTGTAAGATGACACGAACTTAAAGTCACTGGTTCTTGAACCTGTTGTCAGGTAGGCGTCATAATTGTAAGTGCTGCGTAAAGTTCCTGTCCCGTCAACATCTGCGTAATTAGGAGGGAGATAAGCGCTGGGGATGGCAACTGCTCCATCAAACAACAGTCTGGGCTTTCTCCTGCGACAAAACCTCACACCCAGGATGATGATGATGAAGGTCAGGAAAAACGTCGACACAGACACCAGCGCGATGATCAGATAAGACGTCAGTTTGGAATTCTTCTCATCATAAGAAATGTCCTTCAGTTCTGGCACCTCAGCCAAGTTATCAGAAATCAGTAAATACATGGAACAGGTGGCAGACAGAGAGGGCTGTCCGTTATCTTTCACTGACACAATCAGGTTCTGTTTCATGCTGTCAGACTCGGAAATGTCCCGCTGTGTCCTGATCTCTCCNGCACCGTTCACCTCACCGGGTAACAAAGAATAAATCACTGTACCGTTTTGTCTCCAGTCGGGGTCTCGAGCACTAACGGAACATAAAGTGGAGCCAGGTTTGTTATTTTCACTCACATATGCGCTGTACGACTGTTCTTCAAACACAGGTGGGTTGTCGTTGATGTCTGCTACAGATAACTCAACACTTTTAGAGGAGGACAGAGGTGGAGAGCCCTCGTCACTGGCAGTGATTGTAACGTTGTAATCAGACATTACTTCACGGTCCAGGTGTCCTGTGGTCACCAGAGAATAATAGTTTTTAATAGAAGGAACCAACTTAAAAGGGGCGTTTTGCTGAATGGAGCAGCGGACCTGTCTGTTATTCTCAGAGTCTCTGTCCTGCACGTTGATGATGCCCACCTCTGTACCAGGTGACACATTCTCAGGTATGGGATTAGACAGTGATTTCAGGTATATGACTGGAGCATTATCATTCATATCAGTAACATCTATTATAACTTTTGCGTAAGAGGTTAGTCCTAAACCATCTTTAGCTTGCACTCTCATTTCAAATGAACTGCTTTCCTCAAAGTCAATCAAACCAGTTACTCGGATTTCTCCACTTTTAGGATCAATAGAAAACACATTTACATCATCATCAGAAACATGACCAAAGTGATAAGTCACATCTCCATTGACTCCTTCATCTGCGTCAGCAGCACTAACAGTAATCACTAAAGTATCTGGAGGAGAGTTTTCAGGCAGACTGGCTTTATAAACGGCCTGGCTGAACACTGGGGCGTTATCATTAGCATCCAGCACAGTGACGTGTATGACTACAGTACCTGATCTCTGAGGAGAGCCACCATCTAAAGCTGTCAGAAGCAAATTAATCTCTTTTTGTTTCTCTCGATCAAGTGTATTCTCCACTACGAGTTCAACCTTGCTGCTGTCAACAGCGAGAATAAAGTTGTCGTTCTTCTGTAGGCTGTATCTTTGAACAGCATTTTGACCTATATCTGCGTCATGGGCCTCCTCGATAGAGAAGCGGTTACCCTTGTCTGCTGACTCGCGTATTTCCATTTCAATCAAATTCTGTCTGAATTTTGGCGAGTTGTCGTTCACATCTTGAATATGAAGACTTAGTCGATGAAGCTCCAGAGGATTTTCCAACACCAGATCAACCTTCACAACACACGACGGTTTCTTGCCACAAAGGCTTTCTCTGTCAATTCTCTCCGATGTGATCAAATCTCCAGTACTCAGATTAATATCACAGTACCTCTTACGAGTCCCCTCAAAATCCACACGGGCCTTTCGGGAAGATAATGTCCTCAGATCAAGACCGAGATCTTTAGCTATATTTCCAATAACAGACTCGTGTTTCATCTCTTCTGGAATAGAATAACTCAGGTCTCCATTAACGAGGTGAAGCGTTACAATAAAGGAAGCAAAGCGGAACATCGGGCCTAGTGCTGGAAATCCTTTGTCTCGCATCCTGACAAAAAATGCGTCGTCGGCTAGTAAAACTTACTGTCCACAGCGAAATAACGGATTAATCCAAAAAGCAGTCAGTAATCCAGCACTTGGCACCAGTGTCCAAAAGATATGTCCGAGGATTTAGCCGATTCCCTTGGAAAAATACAACTGATATCCATTCAGCACCAGTGGGTGGAGTGGTGTGTGATTATTTTCTGCAAGCCAACAGCGACACCACGAGTCGTTTATTTATCTTCAGTGTCATGTTAGGAAATATTCTTCACAAAACCTAAAATCACGCCACAGTAATCATCACTCATGTCCACACAGCCTGTGCAGTATATGTGGGGAAAAACATCAATGCAATGATAACATGCAAAGAAAAGGGACAAAATCGAATTGAATATGACCGTTTCATTTTGTCCTCAATATATTAACATAAAATACAACTTAAATGTCCCTAGTTAAGTTCAAAATGAAGAATTTCGGCTGCAGCACAACAGAAGTGCAAGGTACAGCACCATGGAGAGTGGCGGAAGAAATACTCAGTTTGCTGAAGGAAAAGTACAAATACCACAATTTAAAAATACTCCATTACAAGTTAAAGACCTGCATTTGAAAAAAATTACTTAAGTAGAAGCACAATAATACTATCAGCAAAATTAACTTAAAGTATCACAAGAAAACATATCCGTTCAGCAGCAAAAATGATATTTTAATGTCATTTTTAGATTGTTAATACTGAAGCATCAGTGTGTAAACATTATTTCACTGAAGCTGGCTGATCTGGATTTTGTTTTAATCTATATGCAGTTCTGCAGTTAAGTTCAGAGATGCCTATCTCGCGGGTTGATCCCTCAACATTGGTCACTAAATAAAGCAGTCTTGAAGTTATTGACAGGAAGGGAAAGCAGAGAAAGGTCTGTAACACAAGTTTTGTTTTTTGTTTGTTTGTCATTGTCGTCATTGTCGTTGTTCTGTTTTGTTCTGTTGTACTTTAGTCTAATCTTTAAATCTTTTCTATTAAATAACGGGCCATTTTACCTCTTTGAGCCTTGAATTATTTAAATAAATGCTTTAGACGGAGAATCTCTCTTTGGTTGAACTGCTTAAAACTCAGAGAAACATGTAATGTAACAAGGAGCTACAATAAAATGCTGCTTGATTTGTCATGAGTCAAAAGCCAAAAAGGTTGGGAACCACTGGTTTAATCTGTAAAAACGTCTTGCATTTTTAAAGGTTATCATATGTTCTTAAACTCTTACTCTGAAAACTAGTTACCAACTATAGCTGTCAGATGAGTGCAGTGGAGTAAACAGTGCAATATTTCCCTCTTAAACATAGTGGTGTCAGTGAAAACTAGCATAGAATGAAAACACTGAAGTAAAGTACAAGTCCCTCAACACTGTACTTAGGTACAGTGGTTGAATAGATTTGCTTAGTTACTGTCTGCTGTGGTCCATAGAAAATAAAGTGGCTCACGGCTGAATATTGGGATTTAACTTTTATTTAACTCACAAACATGTTAACGCACAGATTGTGTATGTCTGTGGAAAATAACGTACCTTAAACACAGACCACTCATTATTACTTGCTCAGCGTTGAGAATTGGGTATTGTTTACGAGTACAACTGAGCTCAATGACATTTGATTGTAACACTTAAGTGGCCCTAACAATGTAAACAATGGCTTTGTTTTGCTTTAACTTTGTCATAGATGGATTATACTGTTTTTTGGCTATACATGAACACATACTACTTAGCCTCTGACAAACAGGGCTAACTCACCTTTGGCCATCACACTGCAACATGCACTAACACTGTAAATGAACACTGACATAAAACTGAGGGTTAGCGCTCTAAGAAAATGACCTGAAGCCCCCAAGGAAATCTACAACAATCCAAAATGTACAAACATACAAGAATTAACATTTCACTAAATTACAGCTCAAAATACAGAAACTGAAAACGGACTGTTCTGTGAAGAATTTTGAGCTTTAAAAATATGTGTGTGTATAATTCTGAAGTTAAGTCATTGTTATCATCATCATCATCATTATCATAAACAATAACAATACAAATAATAATCCAAATCATTTTATTATTATCATTCATTGAGCCCATTAAAATATAACAGGGTGGCCAAAGGAAAATACACACCCACAGTTGCAGTTGAGCATGAGGAGTGTTACGTCAAGATTGGGACATAACGGTGTCACCAAAAGACCAGGATGCTGTATGTTAAACTTTATCTACTGTCCAGGGACAGTGTTGTGAGACTCCACACATTTCAGAAGGTTTTTGGTTTTAGTTTGCTAAAAAACAAAGATGGTCAAAATCAGTTGTGTGACAGTATTAAACTCTGAATAGGATGCAAACGAAGCATTTTAAGCAGTCTTATTACCCCCTGTTGACAAGGGAAAAACAAATATGGATCACAAAAACCGGAAATGATGGGCTCCATGTTTGTGAAGATAGAGTAGCAGAAATGTATGAACATCTGCTGATGCAATGTACAACACTGACTATGAAAAATGAACAAAAATATCCTTCACTGACAAAACAGTTCATGTCAAACTCCACAAAATACTGCATCGGAAGTCACAAACTAAACTGCTGAACAAAAAAAAAGGGAATACATAAATAGTGACAATAACAAGTTTGACATGTACCTGTAGTTATACCGTAGAAGAAGAAAGATGTGCAAAATAAATGACAAACAACAACCCAGACGTCTAAAAAGCACATCTCCACTTCTATCTTGTCAAATACCAACGCTACAATAAAATTTAAAAAAAACATGGATTGTTTGCTATGAAAACAACAAGGTAATTAATGAGAATAAATCTTAGGCACAAAAACAACCACTCAGAACAAGACATGTTTAATCGTTCCCTCTAAAGTTGATCACTGAGAGAGAAGGTGATGAACTTTATTGTGCTTCAATCATTAAAGTTGCAGATTTTACTCGTCTGTGATTCTTTTAAATATGGTGGCAATAACTAAACCTTGGATAAGAATAAACAAAATCAGGAGTGACGAACTGCACCACGTTTAAAAACATCAACAAACAATTTATGTGCCCAAGTATCAACATATTTAAGAAGAGAGACCAAAACGCATTTAAGGACAAATACTGCACAATGAGCTGTAAATGCATCTAATGATGAACTGATGAATCTAAAAGAGGTGAGCGTATCAATATCAACGTCACACTTCCAGTCACAAATTGATCGGATTTGTTTGATGTTCCTACCTCAGGTGAAGCATCACAGTCTTCAAACGCATCAGCAAAGTCTGATGGACTTTTCCTCAGAGTCTGGTCAGCAGGCAGTGTGTTGTCATTGTAAGATGACACGAACTTAAAGTCACTGGTTCTTGAACCTGTTGTCAGGTAGGCGTCATAATTGTAAGTGCTGCGTAAAGTTCCTGTGCCGTCAACATCTGCGTAATTAGGAGGGAGATAAGCGCTGGGGATGGCAACTGCTCCATCAAACAACAGTCTGGGCTTTCTCCTGCGACAAAACCTCACACCCAGGATGATGATGATGAAGGTCAGGAAAAACGTCGACACAGACACCAGCGCGATGATCAGATAAGACGTCAGTTTGGAATTCTTCTCATCATAAGAAATGTCCTTCAGTTCTGGCACCTCAGCCAAGTTATCAGAAATCAGTAAATACATGGAACAGGTGGCAGACAGAGAGGGCTGTCCGTTATCTTTCACTGACACAATCAGGTTCTGTTTCATGCTGTCAGACTCGGAAATGTCCCGCTGTGTCCTGATCTCTCCGCTGTGGACACCAATAGTGAAAAGGCCCGGATCTGTGGATTTCACTATATCATAGGACAGCCAGGCGTTCTGTCCGGAGTCCGCGTCCACCGCTATCACTTTGGACACCAGAGAGCCTCCGTGTGCAGCTTTGGGGACCAGCTCGGTCATGAAGGAGTTGCCCTCCGGCCCGGGGTACAGTATCTGAGGAGAGTTGTCATTCACATCCGATATGAACACACTGACGGTCACGTTGCTGCTCAGCGGAGGAGAACCGTTGTCTCTGCCCATCACGTGGACTTTAAAGCTCCTGAACTGTTCATAATCAAACGACCTCACAGCGTGGATCACCCCCGTGTCTCCGTTAACAGACACATAGGACGACACCGGGGCACCGTTCACCTCACCGGGTAACAGAGAATAAATCACTGTACCGTTTTGTCTCCAGTCGGGGTCTCGAGCACTAACGGAACATAAAGTGGAGCCAGGTTTGTTATTTTCACTCACATATGCGCTGTACGACTGTTCCTCAAACACAGGTGGGTTGTCGTTGATGTCTGCTACAGATAACTCAACACTTTTAGAGGAGGACAGAGGTGGAGAGCCCTCGTCACTGGCAGTGATTGTAATGTTGTAATCAGACACTACTTCACGGTCCAGTTGTCCTGTGGTCACCAGAGAATAATAGTTTTTAATAGAAGGAACCAACTTAAAAGGGGCGTTTTGCTGAATGGAGCAGCGGACCTGTCTGTTATTCTCAGAGTCTCTATCCTGCACGTTAATGATGCCCACCTCTGTACCAGGAGATACATTCTCTGGTATAGGGTTAGTCAGTGATTTCAGATTAATCACTGGAGCATTATCATTCATATCAGTAACATCTATTATAACTTTGGCGTAAGAGGTTAGCCCCAACCCATCTTTGGCCTTTACTCTCATTTCAAAAGAACTACTTCCCTCAAAGTCAATCATACCTGTCACTCTGATCTCTCCCGTTTTAGAATCAATAGAAAACACATTTACATCATCATCGGATATGTGGCCAAAGTGGTACGTGATATCTCCATTCACTCCTTCATCTGCGTCAGTAGCACTAACAGTAATCACTAGAGTATCTACAGGAGAGTTTTCAGGCAGACTGGCTTTATAAACGGCCTGGCTGAACACTGGGGCGTTATCATTAGCATCCAGCACAGTGACGTGTATCACTACAGTACCTGATCTCTGAGGAGAGCCACCATCTAAAGCTGTCAGAAGCAAATTAATTTCGTTTCGCTTTTCTCGATCAAGTTTATTTTCCAGTACGAGCTCAACCTTGTTGCTGTCAACAGCGAGTATAAAGTTGTCGTTCTTTTGTAGGCTGTATCTTTGAACAGCATTTTGACCTATATCTGCGTCATGGGCCTCGTCGATGGAGAAGCGGTTACCCTTTTCAGCAGACTCCCGTATTTCCATTTCAATCAAATTGTCGTTAAACTGCGGCGTGTTGTCATTCACATCTTGAATATGAAGACTTAGTCGATGAAGCTCCAGAGGATTTTCTAACACCAGATCAACCACAACAACACACGACGGTTTCTTGCCACAAAGGCTTTCCCTATCAATTCTCTCCGATGTGATCAAATCTCCAGTACTCAGATTTATATCACAGTACCTCTTACGAGTCCCCTCAAAATCCACACGGGCCTTTCGGGAAGATAATGTCCTCAGATCAAGACCGAGATCTTTGGCTATATTTCCAATAACAGACTCGCGTTTCATCTCTTCTGGGATAGAATAACTCAGGTCTCCATTAACGAGGTGCAGCGTTACAATAAAGGAAGCAAAGCAGAAAATCGGACGAAGTGGTGAAAATCCTTTGTCTCCCATCCTGACACAAAAAGGAGTCCTCGGCTTGTACAATTTACACTTTCCAGTGCGAAACAACAGATGTCTAAAAACGCTTAAAAAAAATCCAACAATAGACAGCAATATGTACGATACTGGACGTTCAGAAAAGTAACTGTTTCTCCAGAAAATCTGCAGCTGATATCTTTGTAGCAGGAGTGGGTGGAGTGGTCAGAGCCTATTATCTGTCAGTCAACAGCGACACCATGAGTCACTTTTAATCTTCACACTAATATCTCATAAAATACTCTTCAACTAGTTTCAAACCACTTTATAGTTATTCACTCGCGTTCACATACACTGTGTGGTGAGCGTTTAATTTTCTTAAAATACAGACGCCAACAATTGTTTTTATTTGGCGCAGTTTTGGAGAGGTGCTGCTGACCCAGTACAGCTGGGCTAAATAAAATTTGGTGTGAAATGTTACCTTTGCTTCAGCTTTTAAAAAGTTATCAATATCAGCACACATGCTATAAATAAACAAATACTCCATCGGAATATCCAGAGGAAAAGACCAGCTTAACTTTGACTACAACACTTTAACATTTACTAACACGGTGGCATTTTACTGCGATTTAAGACTAGTTTGTTGTTCCATATTTGAAACAATAGACTGAAGCAGTCACATAAATTACAACAATCTGAAGTTTTTATTGCATATAAGTCAAATTATTATAATCATCAGTATAATTACAGAAACGCAGAAATCATGGCTGAGGAAAAGACGACATCTCAGTTTTCAGAGGTGCCCGAGAGCTTGAGAAATGTTTCAGCACCATGGACAGACACCTTCAGATTTGGCAGAGCTGATGTAACAAACATTGAAGCTATGTTGGTCTCCTGGTCAGTTTTTTTTTTTTTTACTATAAAAACGCTAGTTTGTGTCAGTTTCAGAAAATTATACACTGACTTAATGCCTAAACCGTTAGCATCCTACCCCTCGGCTGACTCAAAAGTGAGACTTTTGTTTATATCACTTGCTGATAAGCAACAGTCAATGGCACATGCTGATGACTGCAAAAAAACGTGTTTTGTAGCATATAATGCAAATGTAAAGACACAGGAGAGGTGGCGTAGAATATAATTCTATGACAGCGTCATTTATTACGACACTGTTATTGTTAAAAATGCTTTTGTGATGTTTGTTTGTCTCCCCACGAGGCCCAGGGTTGCGAATGTGATCAATCAAGTTGAAACAACATATTGGTCGCCAATGCATCATTCATAATAGCGCATTAGTCCTTCTTAAGAAAATCCACAAATATCAACTTAGTGAAACCAACGAAATGAATTACATATTAAGACGATGTTGTCAACGTATGATGTTCAAAAAGTATATTTCTTAGATATGATCCGAACAGGACCACCAAAAACCGATGGACATCTATGTCTTGACAGTAAGTATAAAAACTAAAAATCAAATTCTAAAAACGTTTCACAAATGCGCACTCAGTGAGGAGTCCCATGGTTTTACAGAACGACTGATGAAAATATGAAATCATTTTCTAACGTAATTTACAAAGTAAAACCCGACAAAAAGTTTGCAAGGAGTTAAATTCAGCAGCTATAAAAACACTTTAAGTAGAAAAACAAAACAACCGTCCAGAGGGAAATTAAAAACTATCAATAAACAAGCTAAAAATGCACTGTTGCCAAAGAAGTAGGTACTATGAGTGGTTCCTACCTCTGCAGAAGGCGAAAAGTCGTCGAAAGCATCAGCAAAGTCTGATGGACTTTTCCTCAGAGTCTGGTCAGCAGGCAGTGTGTTGTCATTGTAAGATGACACGAACTTAAAGTCACTGGTTCTTGAACCTGTTGTCAGGTAGGCGTCATAATTGTAAGTGCTGCGTAAAGTACCAGTGCCGTCAACATCAGCGTAATTAGGAGGAAGATAAGCGCTGGGGATGGCAACTGCTCCATCAAACAACAGACTGGGCTTTCTCCTGCGACAAAACCTCACACCCAGGATGATGATGATGAAGGTCAGGAAAAACGTCGACACAGACACCAGCGCGATGATCAGATAAGACGTCAGTTTGGAATTCTTCTCATCATAAGAAATGTCCTTCAGTTCTGGCACCTCAGCCAAGTTATCAGAAATCAGTAAATACATGGAACAGGTGGCAGACAGAGAGGGCTGTCCGTTATCTTTCACTGACACAATCAGGTTCTGTTTCATGCTGTCAGACTCGGAAATGTCCCGCTGTGTCCTGATCTCTCCGCTGTGGACACCAATAGTGAAAAGGCCCGGATCTGTGGATTTCACTATATCATAGGACAGCCAGGCGTTCTGTCCGGAGTCCGCGTCCACCGCTATCACTTTGGACACCAGAGAGCCTCCGTGTGCAGCTTTGGGGACCAGCTCGGTCATGAAGGAGTTGCCCTCCGGCCCGGGGTACAGTATCTGAGGAGAGTTGTCATTCACATCCGATATGAACACACTGACGGTCACGTTGCTGCTCAGCGGAGGAGAACCGTTGTCTCTGCCCATCACGTGGACTTTAAAACTCCTGAACTGTTCATAATCAAACGACCTCACAGCGTGGATCACCCCCGTGTCTCCGTTAACAGACACATAGGACGACACCGGGGCACCGTTCACCTCACCGGGTAACAGAGAATAAATCACTGTACCGTTTTGTCTCCAGTCGGGGTCTCGAGCACTAACGGAACATAAAGTGGAGCCAGGTTTGTTATTTTCACTCACATATGCGCTGTACGACTGTTCCTCAAACACAGGTGGGTTGTCGTTGATGTCTGCTACAGATAACTCAACACTTTTAGAGGAGGACAGAGGTGGAGAGCCCTCGTCACTGGCAGTGATTGTAATGTTGTAATCAGACACTACTTCACGGTCCAGTTGTCCTGTGGTCACCAGAGAATAATAGTTTTTAATAGAAGGAACCAACTTAAAAGGGACGTTTTGCTGAATGGAGCAGCGGACCTGTCTGTTATTCTCAGAGTCTCTATCCTGCACGTTAATGATGCCCACCTCTGTACCAGGTGGGATGTCCTCAGGTATGGGGTTAGTCAGTGATTTCAAATCTACTACAGGAGCGTTGTCATTCACATCAGTGACAGAAATTATTGCTTTAGCATAAGATGACAGCCCTAATCCATCTTTTGCTTTAAGACGTATTTCAAATGAAGTGGTGGCTTCATAGTCAACAGAGCCAATAACACGTATATCCCCCACCTTACGGTCAATACTAAATATCTTCTTCACATCTTCTGTAACATGTCCGAATTCATAAGTCACGTCTCCATTGACTCCCTCGTCTGCATCAGTAGCGCTCACTGTGACCACTATAGTATCTACAGGAGAATTTTCAGGCAGACTGGCTTTATAAACGGCCTGGCTGAACACTGGGGCGTTATCATTAGCATCCAGCACAGTGACGTGTATGACTACAGTACCTGATCTCTGAGGAGAGCCACCATCTAGAGCTGTAAGAAGCAAATTGAGCTCTTGCTGTTTTTCTCGATCGAGCTCTTTATCCAGAACAAGCTCTATTGTGTTTCCATCAGCAGCCAAAATGAAATTATCATTCTTCTTAAGGCTGTACTGCTGAACTGAATTCTGTCCTACATCCGCATCGTGTGCCTCCTCGATCACAAAACGAGCTCCCCTGACTGCCGACTCTCGGATTTCTATATTTATCAATTCTTCCTTAAACTGAGGCGAGTTATCATTAATATCTTGAACGTGCAGACTGATCCGATGGAGCTCGAGAGGATTCTCCAGCACCAGCTCGTGTTTTAGGATGCACGAAGCCTTTTCTCCACAGAGCCCCTCTCGATCAATCCTGTCGGCAACAATCAACTCTCCGTTATTCAGGTTTATGTCACAGTAACGTTTATCAGTTTCATCGGTGTCGATACGGGCTCTTCTGTTAGACAGTGCGCTCGTCTGCAGCCCGAGATCCTTGGCCATATTTCCAATAACTGATCCTCGTTTCATCTCCTCCGGAAACGAATAGCTCAGATCTGCATATGCGCCATGCAGAAAAAGCAGGAGGAAAGAGAAACCGCAAGCGATCATATTACAATCCATAATCACGGATGAATTCCTAATATGTCTCAGGATCGAAGCAACAAACACACTTCAACCACATAACACGAATAGTAACTGCAGCTCAGCGCGAATGTGTTTCACTTATCTAGACCACGCAATGGGCGTACAAGAACGTCTGTCCACAAAGGACAGAGGATATAAACCATTCTAAGGCTGGTGAATAGCGACACCGTGAGTAAAGTTCATAAATAACATTGATTTAAAAGTTCAAATGAAACACTGATAAATTGATTGCAGCCTATATAACTTTGTCCACCAGTGCTCTAAATAAAACATAACATACATTTACCTTGGTGTTTACAACATTTACAACTACAGTAACCCACAACCATATCCAATAAGATACCAGCTGCAGTAAGAACTGCTGTGCATTTAGTTTAATGCATCAAAGACAGACTCTCACTGAGGTCTGAGGACAGCATGTACGAGCATGGGCTCAGGTGGTCTTTAAATTGTCAGAGTCAACACACATCAGTGGCATTTGTAGGGAAATTAATCTTTGTCAGATACAAGGATATGAAAAAGACTAATTGTCTTAATTTGTGACTAAATCTCAGCCATAAATCTTGATATCAATCATCTGATAATCATATAAAGGGGGTTACTGAGTTGTTGATTTTTTGTTTGTTTGTTTTTCTGCAAGCAGTAGACCAGCTGTCTATCCAACTTCCCTGAATGCGGCCTGGTGAAAGATGTAAAAGGTAAAGGCTGCAGTCACAATAACCCTGATGTGTACTTCAGGTGCGATCCAAGACTTTCACCAGGTTGTACTTTCTTTAAAGCTAGCTTGTAAGCCTCATGTAAGCCTGGGCATGACTGTAGAGATTTGCTGGGAAAAAAAGAAGAAAAAAACATGTGCCTGTTTGCAATTCAAATTATGATTGCACCATACTTCAATTATCATTGTCATCATATTGCAAAGTTGTACAAGTTCTGAACACTATTGTCCCCAGTGGGATTACGATAGTATTTCTCATAGAGGTGCACATCAGTGGGGTTATTTGTTTTTTTGTTGTTTCTATATTTTTAGGTTTCAGCCCTAAGATAAACTAAAAGAATAATGGCATGTATTGTTGTAAACATTTTGTTTGACCACAGCATATGTTAAATGTATGTGAACTAAACCCATGTCTGTAGGCTCTTGAGATTCTGACATCACCAAGTTAGTAACTACATCCAGTAGAAAGTAGGGCTGTCTTTGACCCCACTTGGCCTGACTTCCTACAATCATCTGCAACTCCTGTTGACAAATCATTCAATTTTCAAACTCCAGAAAGAGACAGAAACATGCATTGTGTTTACAGACAGTAAGTTTGTTTAAATACTGAATAACAAGCCACATCTATTACCTCTGTATCTTAAGACAAAGCTCTGCAAATAATAAAGAGAAAACTCAATGCAAAATCACTAAGTCAGGAGACCTGCTGTGGGGAAACACCTCTCTGTAGACTGGGAGTGTTGTATCACTCTGTAGTTATACAGAGCTGGCGAAGCTTGTGGTGGTTTGGTTACTAAAGTTATATAATCATACATCTCTACAAAAGGTAAAAATGAAATAGGCTCAGCTTTCACCTCTCAGCACAACACATTCTCAAAAAGGAAAAAAAAAAAATCACCATTCAAAAAGGGACAGGAACGATATACAGGATACTGTCTGACTATCAGCATCTTCTCAAGATCACAACTAATGTGGTGAAAGACTAAATAAGTACAAGCACCAAATATATCCCCATAGGGCAGCCAAGTCATTGAAACTGACAAACTGCACATACAAACAACTCATTCAACTTTCTCTACATTTACTTCTATCTTAAGTGTCATGGAAGATGGCAGCACACACAGACACAGCAACTCTTGTCGTTGTAATTGCGTTATGCTTGCATATTAACAATAAAGTTCTTGAAATGTAAAGCTTGTGATGAAATCAGACAGTAATCAAACACAGCAAAGCTCAAACAAGAGAGGCCTGTTTAGCATACAAGTTTAAGAATGAAAGTGGACTGACTTTAAATGTAAAACCAACATTATTCAGGCAGTGTCTTCCATCTGAGGTGTATGTGCCACTGTTACACAAAAGCAGCATGTGTGAGTAGGTTTTCAGTCATCCAGCTCATGATATACAGACTGTCAGATACCAGCACAACATATTTCCTTCAATCACCAGAGGAGACATGATCAACAAAGTCATCTATTGGAAATTACATATCCTGGCAAATGTGGCCACAGAATTAATTTTTGTCTTACACACTGACCATATAATATCTTATTACTAAGACTCAGTTACACACTGTACACTGCTATACAGCTGATAAATAATATATTATTTTTATGTTGCTACAAAAACAGTTGTTTCTGTCACGATTTCTGGTCACCACAGACATTTGTATTCACATTTCTGAGATATAAAAAAATATAGACTACACACTAGAGGAATGTCACTGTGTCATATTTTATGCAGGTAGTTATCAACAACAGGTCAATAATGAATATTCAGCTCCAGCAAATTGTGTTTGGTTCATAAAGAAACTTCAAAACAAGCATCATGTCCAACACTCTTTACTTGAACAACTTCTGAACACCAAAATATGTACTGAAATGTAACACGTCATGACTTTTTCCAGTACTAAATAACAACTCAGGACTGTGTTAATGGTTTAGATGAAGTACATATGACGTGAGGAGGCTATTCAGTTATGGTGACATGCATTCAGTCAGTTTGTCATTGACAATGACACTAGGATGGTAAGAAACAGAAGTTTGGAGATAGATTGAAAGCATGGATTTTCAAACAAAAAATCAAGCATATTTTTTTTTACTAGGCTACATCAACGATGAAAATAATTAACAGAAATCAAAATGAAACATTTAAAGTAAAGCAGTTTTAGAAATTACAAAGAAAACACACGCGCACTCACACACACGTACACACACACGCACACACACACAAACACACCACAAACACAATTCATTTAGACAGAAAGACTAGCATAACTGCGCAAGGACAAAGACGGCCTTCATTTTGAAAAGTTGGTGGATATATATTTATGAAATTAAACCTTTTAGAGTAATGCATGGTTGATATAACGTATTTGAATTTATGAAATTTGATGTCAGACTATAAATACGAGTTGAAAAAGCTAAAACGCAGCCCTACCTCAGGAGAGCCATCACTATCTCCAAAGGCATCAGCAAAGTCTGATGGACTTTTCCTCAGAGTCTGGTCAGCAGGCAGTGTGTTGTCATTGTAAGATGACACGAACTTAAAGTCACTGGTTCTTGAACCTGTTGTCAGGTAGGCGTCATAATTGTAAGTGCTGCGTAAAGTTCCTGTGCCGTCAACATCTGCGTAATTAGGAGGGAGATAAGCGCTGGGGATGGCAACTGCTCCATCAAACAACAGTCTGGGCTTTCTCCTGCGACAAAACCTCACACCCAGGATGATGATGATGAAGGTCAGGAAAAACGTCGACACAGACACCAGCGCGATGATCAGATAAGACGTCAGTTTGGAATTCTTCTCATCATAAGAAATGTCCTTCAGTTCTGGCACCTCAGCCAAGTTATCAGAAATCAGTAAATACATGGAACAGGTGGCAGACAGAGAGGGCTGTCCGTTATCTTTCACTGACACAATCAGGTTCTGTTTCATGCTGTCAGACTCGGAAATGTCCCGCTGTGTCCTGATCTCTCCGCTGTGGACACCAATAGTGAAAAGGCCCGGATCTGTGGATTTCACTATATCATAGGACAGCCAGGCGTTCTGTCCGGAGTCCGCGTCCACCGCTATCACTTTGGACACCAGAGAGCCTCCGTGTGCAGCTTTGGGGACCAGCTCGGTCATGAAGGAGTTGCCCTCCGGCCCGGGGTACAGTATCTGAGGAGAGTTGTCATTCACATCCGATATGAACACACTGACGGTCACGTTGCTGCTCAGCGGAGGAGAACCGTTGTCTCTGCCCATCACGTGGACTTTAAAGCTCCTCAACTGTTCATAATCAAACGACCTCACAGCGTGGATCACCCCCGTGTCTCCGTTAACAGACACATAGGACGACACCGGGGCACCGTTCACCTCACCGGGTAACAGAGAATAAATCACTGTACCGTTTTGTCTCCAGTCGGGGTCTCGAGCACTAACGGAACATAAAGTGGAGCCAGGTTTGTTATTTTCACTCACATATGCGCTGTACGACTGTTCCTCAAACACAGGTGGGTTGTCGTTGATGTCTGCTACAGATAACTCAACAGTTTTAGAGGAGGACAGAGGTGGAGAGCCCTCGTCACTGGCAGTGATTGTAATGTTGTAATCAGACACTACTTCACGGTCCAGTTGTCCTGTGGTCACCAGAGAATAATAGTTTTTGATAGAAGGAACCAACTTAAAAGGGGCGTTTTGCTGAATGGAGCAGCGGACCTGTCTGTTATTCTCAGAGTCGCTATCCTGCACGTTAATGATGCCCACCTCTGTACCAGGTGACACATTCTCAGGTATGGGGTTAGTCAGTGATTTCAGGTATATGACTGGAGCATTATCGTTTACATCAGTAACATCTATTAAAACTTTAGCATAAGAGGTTAAACCTAAACCATCTTTAGCTTCCACTCTCATCTCAAAAGAATTGCTTTCTTCAAAGTCAATCACTCCAGTTACTCTAATCTCTCCAGATTTAGGATCAATAGAAAACACATTTACATCATCGTCAGACACATGGCTCAAGTCATATGTCACATCTCCATTGACTCCTTCATCTGCGTCAGTAGCACTTACAGTAATCACTATGGTATCTGGAAGAGAGTTTTCAGGCAGACTGGCTTTATAAACGGCCTGGCTGAACACTGGGGCGTTATCATTAGCATCCAGCACAGTGACGTGTATCACTACAGTACCTGATCTCTGAGGAGAGCCACCATCTAAAGCTGTCAGAAGCAAATTAATCTCCTTTTGCTTTTCGCGATCAATTTTATTCTCTAGCACGAGTTCAACCTTGTTGCTGTCAACAGCGAGAATAAAGTTCTCGTTCTTTTCTAGGCTGTATCTTTGAACAGCATTTTGACCTATATCTGCGTCATGGGCCTCCTCGATAGAGAAACGGTTACCCTTTTCTGCAGACTCCCATACTTCCATTTCAATCAGTTGTTTTTTGAATTTCGGCGAGTTGTCATTCACATCTTGAATATGAAGACTTAGTCGATGAAGCTCCAGAGGATTTTCCAACACCAGATCAACCTTCACAACACACGACGGTTTCTTGCCACAAAGGCTTTCTCTGTCAATTCTCTCCGATGTGATCAAATCTCCAGTACTCAGATTAATATCACAGTACCGCTTACGAGTTCCTTCAACATCCACACGGGCCTTTCGGGAAGATAATGTCCTCAGATCAAGACCGAGATCTTTGGCTATATGTCCAATAACAGACTCGCGTTTCATCTCTTCTGGGATAGAATAACTCAGGTCTCCATTGACAAGGTGCATCGTTACAATAAAGGAAGCAAAGCAGAGGATCGGGCGAAGCGGTGGAAATCCTTTGTCTCCCATCCTGACACAAAAAGGCGTCCTCAGCTTGTCCAATTTATAACTCCCACTGCGAAACAATAAAAACCGTCTAAAAACACAAAATAATCCAACACCTCTGAGCAATGTACGAAATACAGCTTCTTCGGAAATATAACCATTTATCTGGAAAATCTGCAGCTGATATCCATATAGCAGTGGGTGGAGTAGTGACAGCGTTGCTTTCCGTCAGTAAACAGCGACACCACGTGTCACTTGCAATCTTCACACTACTATGCAAGAAATATTCGTCACAAAGTCTCACACGACATTAATATTATATTCACTTACTTTCAAATGTAGCTACTGTGCATGTGCGATAAATCATGAAATATGGTGTGGAATGTATTATCTTTGCTTTAGATTTCAAAATGTGTCTGTACATATAAGTAAGCAATACATTAATTAATGCTACTGTTTGAGCATGTGAAAGAAAATACCAGCCAAATTTGAGTACAATACTACCACTGTAAACGTTTGTAGTACTATAAAACGGTTGAGCACTCGATATAAAGACAATGAGCTGAGGCAATAGCATAAATTACAAGAACCCAAACGTCTCATTGCAAGTAAATCACATTCAGATAATCATCAGCATTATTAAGAAACCAACCCGGTCTCATTTCGAGGCACATCAAGAACCAGATGTCGCAACTGCAACACCAAGACATCTACAGTTGCGGGTGTGCGTGAGCACTTGAGTATTTCAGCACCATGGACAGATACCTTTAAATTTGACAGGGCTGATGGCACTAACATACTGAACTTTGTTTTGGTGTCCTGGCCACTGTTCTTAGACTGTGCTATTCTGAGTTTAGACAATTTCACAAAAGTAAACAGCGACTTAAACTTAGACCTTAGCCATTAGACACCCACCCTCGGCTGACTCAGACAAGGAGGCTCTGTTTCGATCATCCCAATAAGCGACAACCACTGAAACAATAAGAAAACATGATAAGAAGTAAATAATGTAAAAGCAAAGTCCCACGACAGCCTGCGTTAAATGCTTAATCAAAGTAATTGTTCTGTGATAGGCCCACTTAAAACTAAACTTAGCTTGTAAAAAATGTTCTTTCAACTATCAAGGTTTTCCTTTGGGCCCAGATTGCCTGCTTGCAAATGATCAGGTTGAAGTCACTCCTTGGTCGCGAATGATTGTGTTTTTCTACATAGGAAATTACTTAAAATTAACATTGCCTACAAACAGCAACAGCATAAAATAAGGAACTGAATCACGTATAATTAACCATTCCGTCAAGGAATCACATTCAACGTTCATCTTTCTGACGGAGAACCATGAGATCAAATGACAAACGTTTAAACAATAACAGAAAATGAAAAATAAAAACACGTCTTACAAACAGACAAGTGATGAGTACCACTGTTGAAGCAAAAAAGGCAAAAATATGTAATACATTTCTGGTGTTATTTACGACGTTAATGTAGACCAATAAATGTTTCCCTACATGATACAAAATGTTT